GGCCGCCCGGCCTGGGAAGCAGCGCGGAGGCGGCTCAGGCCCCCGGAGCTCGGGCCGCAGAGAGGGGGAGGGCGCGACGGGCTGGAGGCCGGAGAGCGGGGTCGGGAGGCCGGATAACGGGACGGCAGGCGGATAACGGAGCGGGGCAGGCGGGGCAGGCAGAGGATAAAGGGATGAGCCGGGTAACGGCTCCGAGGGGCGGGCCGCCAGGCCCTGGTGCAGCGCCGGGGGAATCCTGAGGCTCCCCTCCGGAACCCGGGCCCCGGGGCGGGCTCGGCGCGCGAGCTGCGTGTGGGTCCCGCCCCGCGGGGGACTGAGGGTGGCGGCTCCTAGCCGGGCTTTGGGTGCCAGGGCGGCCGGGGCGTGGGGAGGCGTGCCTGGCACCTGCGAGCGCGCGTGGGACGGACTCCGAGAGCCAGGGAATGTCGAGACGTTTCCCGAGAAACCTTTCTAAACTGCCTTTACCAAGGTCTTAGAATTTTCTTGTCCCTGAAGCTTCCAATATCTAGCCAGGAATGTGCCCCCTCCTCGGGATCCCCGCTGTCTGACGAGGTCAGCCACGGATCACGAACCATCTGCATGCTCGTAATTTGCACAGTGCACGTGTGCCATGGGCTTGCATGGTCCACACTGTGCAGTGTGGGACTCTGCGTGGTTGAGGGGCCGCAGTGTGGGAGGAAGAATGAGTGAGTGTGTGTGTGTATGGATCCTGATTCTCCCAGAACCTCTAGTCCCTTCCCCTCCCATCCTGATTGCATCATTAGTGCTAATTGAGGGGCGTTCACACGCCAGTGCATTAGCTGTTTGGAGTGAGCTCCCCCCTCCTGGGAGAGATAAGCCGCTGCCCCGCCCCTCCCCCTCTCAGCTTTCGCTGCCCCTCCACCCTGAAACTGTCCCCTCGGATGGACAGTTTCACCTTCCCAGCCTTAGTCCGGGAAAGAGTTGAGGGAGCTTCCTCCTCCCTCTGGGTCTGGACTGATCACTGTCTCTCCGCACAGCAGGTGTCAGACTGGCAGGGGGCCGAGGGAGGGGTGTTTTCCAAAGATGGGAAGTTCCCCTCTTTCCTGGCTTTTTACACAGAATGTGGGGTCTCTGATGAGAGAGAACAGAAATTACCAACCTGTTGTTCTTTGGGATATGTGAGGATAGGGGAGTAGAATGAATCCTTGAACCCCAGCCTGTCACCTTACTGAGGTAGAGGCTTCCAGCACTGATTTCCTCTTAAGTTTGGAAAGCTGAGGTGGAACCTAATTTTGCAGCCTCTTTTGGGAGAGGCTGGGTGAGGGAAGCCTTGAAAGCCCTGGACTGGAGGAGTCCAGTCTGGTCCTGTTTAACTGTTGTGCCCTGCGCTGGCCCATTTCTGCACGGTGTGGGGGAAGGCTTCCAGCAGATGCCCTCCCCAGCCCTCACACCAGATGTCTTTGGTCTAATTAACTGTGCTGGGAAAACCAACCTGGGTTTGTAAACAGAGCTACTGGCTAAAGTCAACAGGGAGCTGCAGCAAACAGCAAACATTTCCCTCGCACTCAGCCTCAGTCCAATTGAGCCCCCTGGGGAAGGAGGGAGCTGGTCCCTGTATGGCTCCCTGGTCCACAGCTGAATCAGGGCCTGTCTGTGTCTGTGACCCCAATATGACTGCTTTTTCCTCACCGGCTTTCAAGGCCTCCTCTGAGGATGAGGATGAGGGTGTTTTTACTATAGTTGCTGTCCCAAGCTGGGCTCTGTCCTTCTTCCAGTGATTTCCCCCTATTAACTTCCCAAATTTATAAGCCCGGAGGAAGCTGTTGTGGGAAACACAGGGACTTTCTTAAAGTGCTTTCTCTGGGGCCTGTGCTACTCTGGGGTCTTGGAGATGCCTCCCGGGAGGAAAGGACTGGCATGGTGGGTCTCCAGCTCAGAGTTGGTGAATATAACGTGAACATTGTTGAATTCGTTACACATCGTGTAGGTATTATAATAACATGTTCCAAAATTAGATAATTATTCCAGTGATATCTTTGCCAAGCTTCAGTGTTTCTGTTATGGTTTGGAAGTTCAACACACACAGAGTCTGAGAAAGAGTCACAAATGTACCCACAGTGCACACACACACACACACAGGAACAAAGACCTTTCCTGTCTCACACTCATTCTGTCTCCCTCACTCCCTCTCAGACACCCAGACGTATACAATCTGAGATGGTAGTAGGTTTTTGGGCTCTGAAAGAAAAGGATTGGATGTTCTGAACAGATTAGAGTTTCTGAATAGGCAGCTCCTAACCAAAATTTGCTTGTTTGTCTTTTTTTTTTCCCACCCAGGGAGAGGAATCATTCAAAAGGATTGAAAGACATGAAAAGCTGCAGGTCCTAGTCAGTGTTCTGCACACCCCTGGGAGACCTGGCAGGCTCTGTAACCCCCTCATTCACAGATCAGTGTTTTCAGTGGCACCAGCTTGGAGTTCACAGGCTGTCTTCACCCGGAGTCTTGACCAAAGTCCTCACCAGATCACATTCAGGGCTCACATCAAGCCCAGGGCCAGAGCCTTTGTGTGAACACTCAGTGCTTTGGACATACTACTGTCTCCTTCCTCTGTGCTTCCTCCTCCTATACTCCCCACCCTACCCCGAACACACGTGTCATTAACAATCTTTCTAAGGCAAATGGTCCAAGACTCTATAACACTAAATTTCTTTGAGCTATCTATCCCCTTTCCTTCTGTTTCTGTCAGATCCTTGTAGGCTACCTGGGTTGTCAGATCAACCTCCCATCCTCTCTCTTTAATGCCTGCTCTTTTCTTTCTGACACATTGAAAGCATTACTCAACTGCTTTTTTGGTGGCCTACTAGTAAGGAACTGTACTGCCAACTCAAAAAAGCACAGTTCAAACCCACTGGCTGCTCCATGGAAGAAAGATGGGCAGTCTACCTCTGAAAACACACTGGAGGGTCAGCTATGAGTTCTGACTCAATTGTACATAACAACAACAACCTTTTTCCTCAGCCTGTGGAGAATAGCTGTAAGTGGGCCTTCAGATCACCCCACGCTGCTCCCAGTCTCCCATCTAGCCCTTCTTCCCTTTTCCTTGCTCAGCTCTGAACTGGACACCCAGGCTCCACTCCTGACTCAGTCATCATTTGCATTTTCCCCTTGTTGCCCACAGGGCTGCTCCCACCTAGATTGCCCTCCTTCTGCCTTCCCACTGAATCCTCATTCTTCAAGGTCTCCCAGAAAACAGTAAATTATAGACAGAGCTTATCACTTGGAGCACATGGGCCTCTGGAACCTTGAGGCTATGTTTCAGAGTCCTGTGCCTTTTTTTTTCTCTAAAAGAAATACATGAAATATATTTCTCAGTAAGGGGAAAGGAAAAGAGAGGTTTTGATAGGATGTTGTAAATAATGGCGTCATACAGTGGTAATTAATTACTGTTATGAACTGAAACGTATACGAGTGACTGAAAGAAAACAATTTAAAAATATGCTTCTCAGCCCTTGGAAACCTTAATGTGAAGAGCTTGAGTCTTGGAGTCAGAGAAATCTGGGTGCAAGTCTCATTAGCTGAGTTACTCTGGACAAGTTAAGCACCTTTTCTGTGTATTATCACAAAAAAGGAGATCATAAGAGTATCTACTTCCAGTTGAAGCAAAAACATGTAAGACACATACATGATAAGCCTTTGATACATGGCACCCATCATTAATAATGATATTAAATGCATGTATGTGTCCATAGCATGTTAGACAGCTTAGTTGTCTGCAACTGTCTTAAGGAAGAAAGGACTGATCTCCTGGGGTGACATCTTTCAGCCTTTTGGACTCTCTGTGCCTGGAAATGTCACTTTTTCCTAGCCCGTAAACCAGCAATGCTTTAGAAAGCCTCCCCTCCCCTCCCCAAGTTCTACAGTGAGTTGCTGAGTGAAGAAGAATCCAGACCTCGTGACACACCTCTGTGACCCCCGACCAGGGACCTCCAGGGAAGGCCTGTGCTTTGCCCTCTCAGGGGCAAGGTGCTGAAGGTGCTGGGGGTTGGGGGGCTGATGAGGCCTAGGACCATCCAGAGGGGAAGGGGGAGGGGCAGAGCCCAGCAGCCTGCTCTCCCACTCCCACCTCCCCCAGGTAGGAAGTGAAGCTGAGTTTCCAAAATATAAAAAACAGATGATGGAGGTCAGGTTTCCAACACACTGGAGAGCGGGAGCCCTAAGGCAGAGTGCCCAAGAAATGATCTCAAGAGAGGGACAGGAGAGAGAAAGACAAGACAG